AGTGGCGAAAAGCGTGTCGGTGAAATTCCTGGGGCCAAAATAGCAGCGCGCGGCGTAGCTACCCAAACCCTGCGGGTCCCGGGTAAGGTGGCGATAGCGCCGGGCGCAGCGCCTCGCAACGCTCCGCGCTGCTGTCGTCGCTGCAAGCCAGACTTGGTGGAGGCAAGTAATTGGATATCCGTCAAGTATATATAACCTTGAAAAGAGCAAGGAAGGTCATGAGGTTTTGCCAGTACATGGTTAAATGCATGTGAAGAACATAGATGTGATCATACGGCAGTCAACACAGAATCAGAAAACCCAAAGAATCTCAAATTGGTTGTAAGGAATCAAGAAAAGGATGATAATGAAGTGGACACAATGATGAGATGGTATATGCAATCAATCATTCACTAACCATCTTTTTCTTGGAATTTGTGACAAACTCAAGGATGATTGCCGTTGTTCCCGGTTTGCGTTTGACATGGAACTGGACCTGGGTCACGAACATGAGAAACCCAGTATATGATGCGTTTGATTTGGCATATGACAGATTGCTTGGAATGTATGAAGGTGGCATTGAAGTTTGTTTGTCAATTTGGTCTTAAGCTGTAAACTATCTTTGAAGCTTTGAGTACTTTTTTTGGTGAGATCAATGCTTTTAGTTAGTTCTTGTTGTCCAACTTGTACCAATTGAAGGTGGAATGGAATATAGGCCATGAAGAGTGAAAAATCTTACTAGCAATTTGGTCAACAAGAGTCAACGAGTCCACAATTGGAAAATGCACGCCAATGTGTGTCCATGGGTAACTTTTCCATCCAACTCTTGAATCTTGGTCTCCTCATTATGTTCAGTTAGTGATTCTCTTTCCCTCATGGAACATTTCTGTGTGTGAATAGCATCCTCATCAAGTATCACTAGGTCCCAAAGCTTTTGGTTTTTCATATATAGCCTTAGAGAGTGCAACAAAAGGAACCATCATGGCTTGATTACTGTTTATAATTTACATTGGGGCCTAAAGTAAATAAAACTTTGCCATATGCAAAAACTGAAGCACTTCAGAATCAAGAACATCAATAGCATCTCTATCCCTCACTCTTCATATTCCGCAAACTCATCCTCATCAAAAGAGATATCACTATCAATAACAAGTTCATATCACCAACAACTTCAATGGACATTTCCAGCTATGCTGATTCCAACTTGCATCAAAACATTGTACATCTTCTAATTCTAGTTCAGTAAGATCAGTGAGTGAAGCGAGATGAATTCCAAGCGGAGAATAAGAAACTTCTCCATCTTTTGTATTGTCCCAAGGGTTTGAATGAGTAGCAACAATCTTCGAACAAGTGCAACTTTGAAGATGAGAAAGGTCAGAGATCAAGTCTACTATGAAGCTTTCAGTGTAAGAATATTTATCCATAAATGATGATGTTAAGAAAAGATGAGTAAGTGAAGTAAGTAGAGCAATTGGTTTCAAAGATAATTTTGGCATTCCTTTGGGAACTTTCCACTGGATCCTTCTAACATGATCTGAATGTTTTTTGATGATGCTGCTAAATATGAGGTTGACTTTATCCACATCAAAACATTTTAAATTGAAACTCTGGAGAAATGAAATCATTCCATCAGTAACTCAATCATGATGATGTGTAGAGATCATTATTGAATCCAGTCAGTCAACTTTACACATGAAAAACGGAATAGACTTACATTGCGCGCTGCCACAAGGTGAGAGTACATAGCCAGATCAATGTCCCAGCAAACACCCCACCCAACAATAGGTCCAGGTCCGTGGTACTCCACTTGCTCCGCTCTTGCTTTAAATTCTCCTTGTCTGGTGTTGCTCCGGGTAAGCAATGTATTGAACTGTTTTAACTGTAAGAAAAAAAAGGTTCAAGGTTGGTGGTTGTTTTTGAGACGTTAGATGAGAGTGCATGAGTAACTTAAGAAGAGAAGGAATCATACCTTCATTGCACCTTTGACAATGATACACCCATCAACTGGGGTATTAAGACATCATCCTTGCAGCCTCGTGATCCAGTCCGGGATCACGTGAGTTGCCATGACCGGGTTGAGTCACAATATTTTCCTCATCATTGAAGACATCATAGGTGATGGCCTCATCCATGAGATTGTCATTCAAAACCACCGCAGGAACAGGAACAGAGAAATTGGGAGGTGTGGCGGATTTAATGTGACCAGCTGCCAAGCCAATTACCTTGAGTCCCTTCTTGACCACCAACCCAAGCTTGTGGGCATAGCAGCAAACATGGTTCTTGGCAGAGTCCCAATTGGCTGGGTCGTTGCATTCCAAGAACATTATCTCCATCTCCCAAGCCATCGTATTGTTGGAAGATCCAGAGTCGGTTGTCTGGCCTAACATGTAATCAATACAAAACATGAAAAGGTTAGCAAATGAAAAATTGAAAGATATTAACAGAAGAAAACATATATTCTTATGAAGACCATGCTCTATGAGGAATTGAGCCACTGGTTGTGCCAGTAAGTACCCAAGCTTGTTCCATGCAACTAGCTTGAGGCTAAGATGAATCGTTTGATAGTTCCATTGGGCATTGATGAAGTTTGCTGAAAACCTGATAAAGGCGTACCTGTTTCCCTTGGTGGTTCACACATCGTGGACCAAAGAAAACTTGCTTGTATTTTCCTGAGATCAAGACAAAATAGTTAGATTGTAGAATGTGTGAAAGATATCAGTACAGAGAACTTACATATACCAAGGCTATTGTTGCCAAGCTCAAGCTACAGTACAGCTTCTTGGCTACACCAGCCGCCCAAGTTGGACTCCGTAATTCAGTGTGTTGGTTAGCGAGCTTGAAAACAGCACGGAGGGGGATGTCATAGAAGTGATTGAAAGGGAGGGTGTGTTTCAATATCCACATCACCAAGACTGTGTTGCATAATTCAACACTGAAAGTCAAAGATGATAGAAATGAGTCAAGGGTGAGTTGGCCATTTGATTCACATGAAGCCGCTGCATTGGCTGCTTCCTCTTGAGACCAAGTAAGAGGCAGGACACATCCTCCTCTGATGGCACAAGCTCTTTGAGGGCAAGAGGCTTGACCCTTACCACCATCCCGGTGGGCCTAGATGTTATAGAAAGTACGGAAGCCACAAATGAATACACTGTTACACCATTGACACTTGTATCCTTGCGGATTGTCTCCGGTCTAGAAAATGACAAACATACAAATCAGGTAAATTAAAAAAACAAGTTGAGAAATAGAATTAACAACAAAACTAGACTAAAAGGGAAGTGAAAATGCATTACTTACCTCATTTTTCACATGAATGGGTGGATAGAAGTACTCCAACAACATGGCAAGTCAACCTGGACCATGTTTGACTCCTTTGGTTTTGACCACCTCAACATTGGAGTCCTGGTCAACATCAACACCATCTGGTATCCCAGTCTACGGTGATTGGAATAGAAGAGAGAAGGATATCAGCTCCTACTTACTCAAATGAATGATTACAGAGAGTCACTGAGATTGAGATTGAAAAAATTACGCACAGGTACAGTGGCCTTCTTTTGTTTCTTTTCTGGCCCTTGAGGTAGGCTAGCTGAGGCACCAGAACCTCTTGGTCAATCCTTAGCCTTCTTTGCATGAATCTTTGATTTTTGATTCTTCTTCTTTTTCTTTGAGAGCACCTTGAGAAAGTCATCAGCTTTGGTGACCTCTACAACCAAGTATCAGAGCCAATTCCAGAACTTTTGGGCTCATATGCTAAGTCTAAATCCAGATCTGGTAAATCACTTTCACTAGAACTTGGACGTTGAACAGAAACTTGCAAATCAGGGGATTTGATGACATAGCCGGGTTTAGGACCGGTTGGGCTTCTTGGACAAAGACTAGGACCATTGATCAAAGAAGGAATAGCAAATCTAGACTGTGAATGGGCCATTGTGATACTATTATTGATGTTGATGATGACCAGAACAGAATTCAACAAAAGGTAAACGTAAGGGTACAAATGGGTCAGAGTTCAATAAAATTTGTAAAAAATTGATAGATGATTTTGCCTAAATTGTGAGGGAAGATTGAGAGAAACGCTCACCTTATATAGACTGAAAGAGGGTATGATCGACTGGTGCAAACAAGGAAAGAGGTAGATTGTGTCATGTCAGTCTTCAAAGATGAGATATTGAATTTGGAGAGGGGCCATTGACATTTTGAGGAAGTCCAGAGATTGTTTAGGTGTGTTGACAGATGGAAAAAGGGTATTGCTGAGTTATTGGGGTAGATATTTTGGGAAATTGACATCTTCTAGAGATTGGGGAAGGTGTTTGGTGGCTGTGCAAGGTATTTGAGGTGATGGTTGGTGTGGAAATTCAGCCCGAAGGATGATCAATGTAGATATCAGTCAGGCTGCATGAGTCTAACACTGCATACCACTCTATGCAGGGTGTGCACAGCAGAACTTTATGGTGCCTTGCTAATTCCGTAATCCGCTCTGTGGGCATTCCCACGGTTGCAGCGTTAGTGGATTGGGTAACCGGCCCCCGTGATTTTCTTGAGTGGTGGCGGGGCAGTCCGCTCTACCACTTTTTGCAGCCAAGCGTTTCAGGTGTTGGTACCCGGCTGTGTGCTTGGGATTCTTTTGGCTGTAAATTTGAATTCTTTGCCAGGGGTTTTGTCTAGAAAATTCAAATTTACAACCAAAATAATTCCGGCACAAGGCCAGGCATATGCCCTGATTCTTCTTTGAATCCCACACATGTTATATATTCCACGCTTTGTGCAATCTCTGCCTATGCTCCTTGACTAACAATCTGTATAACATGAAAATTGGTACAAGCCCTTGTCCCAAGACCCACCAAAACATCCTAACAAAGTGATGGTGCCACACTTGGTGTATCACTACTAATGTGCCAATTTGATGTCTGTTTTCCAGATGTACATTCACATGTTTGGCACTGGCTCTATGAAATGATTGTTGAGACATTCTTCCAACCTGACTCTGCCAGCAGCTTGCACCAACCATTGCACAGGTTAATATAGAGAAACAATATATATATCAAACTCTTGTTGTATCGCAATGTACTTCGGTAAAAATATGAAAGTCCTTGCATTCTTGCACCAGCACATTCAAAGCAGTCACAAATGCAGATATGCACCAACTGCTTATCTAGGCTTGTTGAGTGCACACACAATTAGGGCTGGTGTCTTTGAATATGTTGGCACCACTTTCCCTCCCCTACTTGCATATAATAGCAGCTGCTGAGACAAAAAGTATGACATGAATGGACCACCTTGCTTTGCTTTGAAGCGCAGATCTTCTGAAGCTTTGCCAGCGACTGTACTTGGCATTTGAAGATGACACTTGAAGTAGGAATATACATGGAACTGGCAGATACTAGTTGTCTTCAGTGGCCATGTTTCTTGGAAGTGTCAAGGGAACAGCAGCCAAGAGGTTAACTGATCCACTATTTGTAACTCTGCCACAGGGGGGTCAAGATTTGAAGGAACTTACATAGGCACATAGACTACCAAGTCTACAATCTGGCCACCACTTGCATCTAATATGCACACCATGCCTGGTATAAGCTCTAGCTGAAGCCATCAAGGAGATGAACCATTGATGAGAAGATGAACATCAATTACATCATTGATTGTCAGTGAGTACTCTCACATTCTCTATCTACATCAACAGGTTGGGCTTACGTGGTACAGGCTTTGGATCGGGATGGCGCTGTGATGTGTAGCTGCGAGCTACTCGAGAAATTGGCCGAGGAGGTGAGCGGTCGTACCGATCACTCGAGCGTCGAGGAGCATGATAACCTGCTCTGCGGTCATTGTCCACGCTTCGTGTGGTAAGCCTTCCTGCGCTGCGATCGTTCTCTGTGCTTCGTTTGGAATAGGTCACTCCATTGCGATCGCTCTCTGGTCTCCGAGGAAGATTCGCGGCACTGCGATCGCTCTCTGGTTTCCGAGGAAGGTTCGCTGCATTGCGATCGCTCTCTGGTTTCCGAGGAAGGTTCGCTGCGCTGCGATCACTCTCTGTTTTTCGGGTGGAAGAATCCGCTGCACTGCGATCATTCTCGCGATTATTCTCCGTGCGAGACTCTTTATAACGAGCATTTGAACTTTTTGAAGTTGCATCATAGGCTGGTCGTAACTGTTGAGTCAAGACGTGGCAAAGCTTATGGGAGCGTCAGGATTGAGGATGAGTTTGAAGTGATGAAAATGACAGACCTCTCTTGAAGAGGACATCGGGCCGGGCAAGGAACTCCGTCGAGGAAATTCCTTCAAATGATCGAAAGCGCCCCGATCGCGAAATGAGAGACTCTGCGATATTGTATTGGTCCTTGATCCCTCTCGATCATGACGATATGAACTGTCATTTCTACACCGGTCGGATGCAATAGCAGGCGCTGATGCTCGCCTATCAATGCTAGGTTCATGGGTTGAACTGGACACTGGTGCTTTGGCGAGTCCTTCACCACGCGGTGTTCCTTTGGCTTCGGGTGATTGAGGAAGTAAGCTGTTCAATTCTTCGAGGTTTGCGTCGGTTTGGGGCACGAGCTCGGACGGTGCCAGCCTGTAAAGTCCTTCACCACACGGTGTTCCTTTGGCTTCGGGTGATTGAGGAAGTAAGCTGTCCAATTCTTCGAGGTTTGCGTCGGTTTGGAGCACGACCTCGGACGATGCCAGCCTGTAAAGTCCTTCACCACGCGGTGTTCCTTTGGCTTCGGGTGATTGAGGAAGTAAGCTGTTCAATTCTTCGAGGTTTGCGTCGGTTTGGAGCACGACCTCGGACGGTGCCAGCCTGTAAAGTCCTTCAGCACGCGGTGTTCCTTCGGCTTCGGGTGATTGAGGAAGTAAGCTGTCCAATTCTTCGAGGTTTACTCCGGTTTGGGGCACGAGCTCGGACGGTGCCAGCCAGGAAGCCTCTTCTTGTAAAGATTCTTGGGCGTTGTGGAGGTATTGACCCTCGTTTGCATCCATCTGACGTATATCTGCCACAAAATTCGGCTGAGTATAATTTTTGGTCAAATCGATCGCGAGTCAATGTACGTTTGGTAGATGAAGTGGAGCATTTGGCTTACGTCATCGTCACTGTGATCTTCGTAAACATCATCGTGCTGATGATAAACCAATCTCTCCACGATCTTGATCGCACATAGTTGATCATCAGGGGCGAACGTGACAGATTTTCGGTTTTTTTTCGGATTCTTTGGTTCATGAACAGAAGGTGTCACAGAAGAGATGTTATCGACGTCAGCACCTGCTTTGCTCTTTTGGATCGTTCGCATTGCTTCAGTGAACGGGTCTAGCATTGTGTTGGGGGAGTGCGATGCGAGGGCTTCGAGTTTCTTTTCGGGAATGGCGAGAGGCTTGAGGGATTTTGGACCTTTCTGGACTGCCATGGTTGTTGGCCTCATATCAGTGGATCGGTGGTCGAGCTTTGCCTTCTTGACGATCTCGGGCCCTACAAAAGAACAACCGGAGTCTGATTGATGACCAGTAAGAAAGCGTTCAGTGAGAATAGGCTTACCTTGTCGAGACAAATGATTGTTGGATCTTTTCGCATCAGTCAAAACTGTATGATCATTTTCTGTAACTTTGTCGAGACCAGCAGCTTGCAACCATTGATTTTTCAGTTGTTTCGCTAAAAATCTGGCATCTAGAGAAAATGAATTGTTTAAATACGACGTTTTAAGTGCATAAATGGAGACATCACTCAACTTGTTGAAAACTTTTCGGAAGAGCCTTCGGCAATCTTGTTTATTTGATTCCCAAATTTATAGGATGTTAGGTTGTCCACTGTGAGGGGAACCTTTTGTAGGACCTGTAGGATCAAAGTTAAGTCAAGTGAGGGCTAGTAGTATCGTAGATTCAAACAGCAGACCTTCAATAATTTGATAAGGAGTAAGTCTCTTGTTGAAGCTTCAGAATCTTGATCTTTGAAAGACGGATTTGTTTTGGCTGCAGCGTCCTTGTGGGCGAAGACTGATCCCCTTAGCCAGGCTTCTAGGAGTCTCAGTCCGTTCTTATCAGCGCCCCAAGCACACCAAAAGTTCAAGTCGATTATTTGTGCACAGGCCGACAAGATTTCTAGTCTCCCTTCACTCGGGACGCTTGACCAATCACTGGATCGAAGTGTCTGTGATGTAGAATGTGCTGCCAAGATCTCTATCAGATTGTTGGGTATTCTATTTGATGCATTTAGTAAATGGTCGAGCTCGGCCCTAACATGACACAAGTCTAGCTTCCACCGTTGGCGTTCTTGTTGCGGTGTGCATTTTGACGCGACTGTTGGGATGATAGGTGTATTTTGTGTATGGCTAGGTTTATTCACAACAGTGGAGTAGGATATAGCCATAGGGATGTTAGGTTGATCAGTGGTTTTTGACGTGATAGATGAGATGTTGGATTGATTGGGATGGTGATTAGGTTGATTTGTAGAAGAACACGGGACGGCCGCGGGAATGGGGGGTAGGAGTCGAGTATCGGCGAGTTTCTTGAGTCCGGTCATTAAAATCAATTGGTTTGTTAGTATTGAGGGTGAGTCAAGGACTCAAGTTTTATAAGCAATCGCATACCATGAAATCATTTTGCGAATTATAATGGTATACCCATAAAGGCGATCGAATGTCGTCCATTTGAACAAAGGAAAACTCTTCAAAAGGATTTAAACAAGATGGAAAATGAAATGATATGACTAATGCGAAAAGTACAAAACGACGATTGCTTAGAATGCAAGATGACAACAAATGAACTCAGATGAAGTGATTGTTATTTGACAATATATAGGAGCAAAGAGATCAAAACTGATGAAACTACATTAGGGGGATGGTCAGTTGTCGAATCTGACTCACTGAACAAATGCTGAGCTTTTATATTCATTGGATAGCTCATTCGTCACGTGATTCGCTTCGACCCCACCAAATCAAGCCCGGTCGGTTAATGTGCCGAAGGGCGCGCCGCAGCGCTTTCATGCAGGCGCGTCGTGGGTCAAGACATGCTCATCAGGTGCGCTTCTGTGCCCCGGGGATGCTGCTCAGTATGCACGCATGATATATCTTGACACCAGTTCACGACCGATGTTTTTTTCAAAGGGCGATTCGTCATTCAACCGATGTTTCACTTTGTCAGACCACGTCCACAAGTGTATATTTGTCCGAGTGGTTATCGTATGTATATGACGTCATGACAGATTTACCTTAGAATTTAAGTTTGGTGAATGGGATCAGGTTTAAATTCAAATCACCCCAATCGAATTCCTTTCAAAACCTCAAGCTTAGCTCAACTTTGATCGAGAGGATTATCTTCCCTTTGATCACCTTTGACCCAGCCCATATTCAATCAAACCGCGCAATCATGTCAATTACCCACGATGTCCTTGGTACTAAGCCAAAACTGGTCCGTGACGATCCCTGGTAAGACCACTCTCATTGGGCCAGGCGTTGAGAAGTCCATATATCCAGACTGATCATACCGTACACGATGCAGGTTGGAACCTTTTGCGCCTGCCATTCAAGCTCGGTGAGCCGTTCAAATATGATAAAATCAGAGGTCATCTATTAACCATTTCGTCATTGTTTCCCAGAATGCAAAAATTCAGTTCTTGGGTCAAACAGATTGATGAGACTGAAGGAGGACTTGATAACTTTTCGAAAGGTTTCGAGCGATTCGGCTTGATACCTCAGTCTGATGGATCGATCATATATCGAGAATGGGCCCCAGGAGTCGAAAAGGCGAATTTGATCGGAGATTTTAATGACTGGAATCGCGAGGCTAATCCTATGGAGAAAAACGAGTTTGGAGTTTGGGAATGTACGATTCCTGCCAAGGGAGGGAAACCCTCGATCCCACATGGTAGCAAAGTCAAAGTAAGTCATTTCCAAATCACCTTCGTTGTGCAAGTTCGACAAAAATGTATATGAGAGTGACGAGTTCAAAGTGTTTGTTAGATTTCTATGGTCACCCCTAGTGGAGAGAGAATCGAACGATTGCCAGCGTGGATTAGGTTAGAAACTTTTTATCCTAACATGACCATCATAGGCTCATAGTTCATTAATGATCTAGGCGGGTCACCCAAGATCTTTCCGTTTCACCCATATACGATGCGGTGTACTGGGATCCACCCGAAAAATACGTCTGGAAAAACAAGGCGCCTGCACCATTGAAGTCCGTCAAGGTTTACGAGGCTCATGGTCAGTTCTTCTCTTCTCAGCGCATCTCGTTTCGTATGACCCTGGTGTACAACTGAGTAGCGTTCGAAACCAATCAGTTGGTATCTCGTCTCCTGAGGGTCGAGTCGGAACCTACAAAGAATTCACCGTGAATGTCTTGCCGCGTATCAAGGCACTGGGATACAACGTGATTCAAATGAGTAGGACACATCTCAATCTTGTGTGCTATGGTGTGCATAGTACTAAAGTTATCATCAAAATTCAGTGGCGGTGATGGAGCACGCCTATTACGCTAGTTTTGGCTATCAGATCACGAATTTCTTCTGCGTTAGCAGTCGATACGGTGAGCACCTTAGTGTGACTAGATTGTGCGGACAATCACATCATCATTGATCCGATAAATGCCTTTTTGATCACAGGGACCCCGGAGGAGTTGATGGAATTGATCGATGTTGCACATGGCATGGGACTCACAGTTTTACTTGATGTCGTCCATTCACATGCATGTAAAAATGTCCTAGATGGTATTAACATGTTTGATGGTACCGATCACTGTTATTTTCACGAAGGAGCGAAGGGACGGCACGAATTGTGGGACAGGTAGGCATATCGACTCTTCTCTTAAACCAGGCAGGGCTTCATTCTGACTATTCTGATCTATTTTTAACCCTCAGTCGCCTATTCAATTATGGTAACCACGAAGTATTGAGGTTTTTACTATCGAATTTGAGATTCTTCATGGATCAATATCGGTTTGATGGATTCCGATTTGATGGTGTGACCAGTGTATTGTACACCAGTCATGGAATTGGGACTGGGTTCTCGGGCGGTTACCATGAATACTTCGGGCCGGGCGTAGATGAGGAAGGAGTGACATACTTGATGATTGTGAGGTTTTTGGTTGCTCTTGAACCTTGATATAAATTCCAAAGCTGATATACCGCCATTCTCAAATGATAGGCCAACCAATTGATACACCAACTCAACCCTCATGCCATATCGATTGCTGAAGATGTTTCTGGAATGCCAGGCCTTTGTCGACCTACCGAAGAAGGTGGTGTAGGATTCGATTATCGACTGTCTATGGCTGTTCCCGACATGTGGATCAAGTTGTTGAAAGAGAAGAAAGATGAAGATTGGGATCTGAACAACATTTGCCATACACTCACTAATCGGAGATATGCTGAGAAATCGATTTGTTATTGTGAGAGTCATGATCAGGCGTTGGTCGGGGATAAGACAATTGCTTTCTGGTTGATGGACAAAGAAATGTATACTCACATGAGTGATATGACTGAGTTCACCCCGGTCATTGATCGTGGACTTTCACTGCATAAAATGATTCGGTGCGTTTATGTTCAAATGTGGCGGCTCTTAAGACTCTTTTGACGCCATCTTCTCTTTGACAGACTGTTAACCCATGCCCTCGGAGGGGAGGGTTATCTAAACTTCGAAGGCAACGAGTTTGGCCAGTAAGCAAGCCGTCTAGGCAATAGCCCTTCTCGAAGTCCATAATCCATCGTACTGATAATGTGCTCATGAACAGTCCAGAGTGGCTAGATTTCCCTCGAGAGGGTAATGGCAATTCCTTTCATTATGCAAGACGACAATGGAACGTAGTGGATGATCCATTATTACGTTACAAATATTTGAACAATTTTGATGCTGCGATGAACAACCTGGAGGGAGAATACAACTGGTTATCCAGCCCTCATACATATATCTCATTGAAGCACGAAGTGAGAGAATGCCATATTCCATTGTCCTACTTTGCGGTTAACTGATGGCTTTGTGATTCAGTCTGATCGAGTTGTAGCATTCGAACGAGGAACGCTACTGTTCATCTTCAATTTTCATGCAACGAATTCCTATACCGATTATCGAATCGGTGTTGAATGGCCAGGTCAATACAAGGTGGTTTTGTGTAGTGATGAAAAATCAAGATTTGGTGGACACGATCGAGTTGATCTAAATTCAAGATATTTTACTACCAACCTCGAATGGAACAACCGAAAGAACTATCTTCAGGTTTATCTTCCCACTAGGACGGCACTTGTTCTTGGCCAAGTTTGAATGAACTTGTCTCCTAAAAATTGCGGACAAAATTAATGAAAGTTCTCCTCTTTGATCTTCAGAATGAACATTGATCAATGAGGTGAATCGGCATACAAATACCATCAGCAGTTTTCTGTTTCTTGCACTCTGTCTCTGATGATCAACCCTTGGCTGTCTAGACACCCAGTCATAATTTATCTCTTTTTGTCACATTTCATCATCTTTGAATTCCTCTCGAGGACTCCGGTGTTATGTGTTACGCTTGGTTTTAGAGCGATCAGTGAAAAAATAGCAAAATGATGTATTTACTTTTTGTTGTATAACGCGTGCGACTCCTAATATGTTGATATAACTTTTATTATCATATCATGACTCTAGTTCACTACGGTTCCTGTTGTGTTCCTGGCACCCATTGATTTGACACTGATCTGACGATGGCAATCAAATCACCCGGGCAACGTAATAAGCTGCTTGGAGATGAATGTTCTAAACAAAGAAAATAGCGGACAAGTTATCAGGATTCAAGCTCTTATAAATACCCCAGGTTGCGACTTTAAGCGTGTGCAACTTCTTTACTTCTTTTGTAGCAAGGAAACACTTGTGGACGCGCGTAACTGGCACACAAGATCGCTTTAATCTCTTTCATGACGGAATGATAACATGATACATGACGGAACAATATCTGAAATTGCCGATTAATCACATCCACTTTGACCGGTTCACAGTGCTTATGGGCGTTGAGCTGGGCATACGTTTCCAGAAATTCCTGTGGAGGTTAAAAAAACAACTATGCGCATCTTCAAAGCGCGTGGAGTTACTAGTCGTGTAACCGGCACAAGTGAGGTGGACCAGGTGGACCCTTCTCTATTCTGCTGTGAGTTGTAACTTGTCCATATGCCTTGACCATAAGACTACGTGAGACTCTTCAGTATATTTGAATTCTTGAGTGCAATCAATGGATGATATCCTGGTATCCCCACCATCCTCCCTTGGTAGCCTCACCACCCCCTCCCTTTTGCAGCTAGTGAAAGCCTCACTTACCAGTGACACAAATTGAGCTGTCTGTAATTTTTCAATTTGGCTTCAGAAGCCGTCAAGGATTGACTAGGATTGACCCCCGCCTTACAGACAACAACTGTGGGAATTGGCTGCAGATTAATTAACCTTGACTAATGATCTGTAAGCTCACCCACACTCAAGCCAAATTTGACACAAAAAATTGGAGATGATCTTAAAGTCATAGATTCTGGCCTAGGACGTGGTCTGAGCCTATCAAAAGAACTGGCCCTGGCATTTTCTAGGGAATCTATGGGGTTCTCCTTGGGGGGTGCAGGTCTGGTCCTTTTACCCCCAACTTTTGGGGACATTGTCACAAGATGGCCTGGTGTATAATAATATGTGCATAGGTTTAAATATCCATTTGAGGGAGTGTTTGCCAAAGTGCATAAACCTCTAAAGGCATAGAAAAGTCCTCTGCCAAACTCTATGCTTTAGAGGGAGTCAACTGTAGCATTGGGATCTTTGGGAACAATTGAATAAACAAAACTGTCATCTGAGTAATCAGAGCTGTTGGACAATTTTTTACTATCACTATCGAAGCATCTGCAATTGTTTGCGGTAAATTTGGTGTTAGTCAACCTAAATTTAGAGAAAATTAGCCGGAGTCAAGTAATCTAACACCAATTCTCACAGTTGTTGGAGCTAATGGTGTATTAGGTAACAGTCACCCCACACTTCAAAGCCTGGTTCCACGATGGCTTTGAAGCGTGCTAGAGCTAAACTCTCTTTATCTTTGGTGTCATTGGCAAGTTTTTTTTGTAACGTTTTTGCAACATGGATGCCTCAGCCATCATCCAATGTCAATTGAGACTCATTCAAGAATCAGAAGGTGACAAATACGACAAGATGATCTTGTCTTTCTTCCTTCATCCACACCAAATCACCAAAATCAACACAAGCACGGTCATTGACCGTGACTGGATTGCTGCAGACCAAAGTCTACAATGCAACTACTTTCAAGACTCACCGCTATACCCTGGTGCTTACTTTGAGAGAAGGTTTTGGATGAGTGCTGAGCTCTTTAGCAAGATGGCTGCTGACCTACAGGAGCACAACATTTATTGGGTACAATGTTGAGTGAGTTCTCTATGCTTTTGAAGTTGATGATGCTGATTATCTACTTACATAGGATTGCTGTAAAAAACTTGGTCTTTCAACCTTCCAGAAGATTGTGGCTGCGCTACAACATCTAGCCTATGGAGTTTCCGGTGATGCAGTTGATGAGTATATCAAAATCGGAGAAAGTACAGCTCTAGAATCTATGAAGAAATTTGTAAATGATATAATTGAAATATATGGCAAAGAGTATCTACGACCTCCGAACCCTGATGAACTTGATATTATATTGAAAGAGAATGAGTTACAAGGATTCCCTGGATGTAAAGGCAGTATTGGTGGAATGCACTGGTATTAGAAGAACTGTCCACGAGCAAAGAGATGTACACATTGGTGGTTCTTGAGGCAGTCACTTCAAAAAACCTCTGTAGATGGCATGCTTTTTTTGGCACACCAGGGGCGCTCAATGATATCAATGTTTTACAAAACAGCCCACTGTTTGAGAATTTTGTCAATGGTCAAGAGTTATCTTTTATACAAATAAAATTTTTTTGATAATGTTTTTTTATTTTGTTTGAATGTTTTGAAGTGAATAGGTTCCAAAGACCAGGTTCATTTCAAGATCAACAGACACGACTACACTCAAGGATATCACCTGGTGGATGGGATCTGTCCCTCATGGCCAGTCCTCATCAAGTCCATTCATGATCCAACTGATGAAGCCAGCAGACTGTTCTCAAAGCTTCAGGAGGCACTCCGAAAGGATATTGAGTGTGCTTTTGGAGTTCTCCATTCTCCAAGCACAATGGCGCATATTAGCAGAACCATGTTGCCTTTGGGATATATTGGATATGACAAAAATCATATTATGTTGCATTATCATCCGCAACATGGTACACAGTGTCATCTGAAATTGCGCCGGACGTCCGGTGAGCTCCTTTTGCAGCAGTCGTCCGTCAATAATGGATAGTTTTTTGCTGATTTTTATCAACTCAGCCATCTAGCAACATCACTCAGGGCTTGATCAACTCAAGCATGAGTCTTTGTGCTTGAGCTGGACCCACTGAGTCACTGAGCATCTTTGGTGTCTGACTCCCAAAGATATTGACTTGTTACTGTTAACTTAGTTTTTACGGGTCGCCATCCAGACCTGGACCATAGCATTAGAATTGCATCAAACAATTTATTCAGAATATAGAAAGATGTATCTAAGAATCATCTCAGTTACACGTTGTTTTCAAAGATTTTCTCTGAGAGAAGTGGAGAACTTGAGTATCTACCCAAACTGATCCTATTGAACGCATCCATTGAACGGAAAATGAGTATCCTATGATCCATTTTGCTAATTCTCATCTGATTTGAGCAAATGATGCGGTCAAAGATCAATGAGCTGGAATGAAGATCCATCTGAAACTATCATGTCGGGCGTTGAATGCTCTGAAACATTGATTCATCATCTTAACAACTGTTTCTAGAAATTGACAACGTTTATGTGCTGGTGTTGTGAGTTATCAAGAATCTTTGTCTAGCAAACAACGAGCTTGAGTATCTGCTTGAGTGGACATGATTGAGGATTTCCAGTGATAGTTGAGTATCCTATGGTATATGTTGTCAATCCTCATCTGATTTGCACAACTACAGTGGTCAAATATGGACGGCCGGCACTCTGGATCCATCTCAAATAATTTGATTCACAGTTGAGCTTTGAGAAATACACTGAATATTCATCCAGAATGTGAAAAGCATCGTGTCTGTATATAGGGCATGAAGGTTTGCCTTCAATCCATGCATTAAGGGTAGTGGTTTGACCTTTGAATCACAATGAAGCTCAGCGCTGAATCAAATTGTGGTTGTAGGATAACTAAATCATTCTACACACAATTGTTGCTTGTGCAAGTTGATCCTAAATGAAACATATTTTGCTCAGAATGTATGGAGGTGGGATCTATTTCACAATTGTTCATTTACAATAGAGCTTGAAAAAGAGCATGAAAAAATGATCCACCATGTAAAATGATTCTTTGAAAGCGCCAAAAGGCATATTGTTTTTACACAAAGGCATTAATCTCAGCCTTTAGGCCTCTCAGAAAGTGAGTGTGACCTACGATGCAAGATACAGTTGAGCTGAGCAGAAATATCCATGAAAGGGGATTGATGCTGATAGAGAGAGGGAATGCACATACTGGAAGCTGAAGACGGATCAGCTTCAGACCTGTATAAAACTTTTGCGACTGCGCGTTGTAAACAAGATGATGATCAGAGCTCTGAGTAAATACATAGCTTGCCTTCCCAGGCTCAATCTCTTCTGCGCATGCGCAGGCGCGGGCGTGTTTTTGCGGAAAACACAAAAAAATTGGACTTTTTGTGAACTTCAAAGCTCACCAGACGTCCGGCACATTTTCAGATGAGACTGTGGTAGTCAAAGATCCAGGCAAAATGGATCAAATCACCATTGATTGTTGATCACAACACATCCATATTGCCTCAATTCTCAAATTGGCTATACCCTTGCTCAATACCATGACATGATGGCTGAGCTGAGAAACCAAGAGCAACACTTAAATTAGTGGAAAATTTGAAGATATACATGTGGATGAAAAGAGGCAGGGTGGATGTTTAGTTTTCAAGTTTCCTACAAATCCAGCTTAATATGTTTCCTTCTCACATGTGTATCAGAATTTAGATACAACTTATCAATAAATAAATCATAGAAAATAAAACAAATAAAATAAAACCAGTCAAGATGAGAAAATAGAATAAAATTGTTTCATGTTTCCTAATTTAATAAAATCATTTCGTATTTCTTAATTTCTTTGTTCCTACTTTTTTATAATCTAATGTAAAAATATTAATAAAAAGATTTCAATTCTTATTTTGTTACCTACTTGTTTGAGAATGTTAAGAAGCTACTTTGAAATGAAAGTTACAAATCATCAAGATAAAACTATTCCTGTGCTTCATCCCTATACTTCTTCAATAACATTGCTTTCATCAGCTTGAGGATCTCCCTTGATTCATCATATGGACACTTATCAGCTGAAGCCATCAACATGTTCATATCCTCAGTATAGACCTGGCTCCTTCTAGCCTCTCCATCAATTTTCTTATCCTCTCCCTCAAGTTTGAGAGCATGCTCAGCTAGCTCATGTCATTTCTCCATCACCACTTCTTTTTGCTCCTGGATGTCAGTTGCATGCTTAAGTTTGTTGGTGCATTTGATCTCAATTTTGTGTTCTTTGCATTGATGTTTGGCTTTTCTCTGACCAACAGGACAATCAATTGAAGCCAAAGAGTTGGGAGCTGGACTAGATCAAGAAGGGATGGGTGAGCTGATAGCAGAGAAGGGGGTTGCAGTTGAACTGGCTGCTGCTGCTGGATTGGCAACTGCTGCCCATTTTGGATCATATCAAAGAATTTGCCACAGGACCTCGTCCCTGAAGTGTTCTTTTTTTGATTATGATACTCCCTCTTTGTAATCTCTGTGAAATCGGATAGAGCAGTTCCACTTGGTTGGTTGCTCTTGATCCCTCCATAAA